TGAGTGCGGCCTACCTGTGCTGGGGGTGGGCCCAGGAGTCGGTGTGCACAAAACACGGCTTCCTAATTAGATCCCCGCTGAGCGGGCCAGTGAGGGACCCATTAAACTCACAAATGTGGATGCTGAATGCCATAGAGTCTTGGTTAGACTGTCGCTGGAACCAAGATGGGGGCCATGGTGGCCTCGGCTGAGAAGTGACGTTTAAGCTGTGCTCCAGCGGAGAGCTGCAGTGTAAGAGGCCTGAGGGCAGGGGACAGCGTCTCTCTGGAGTCCAGAAGCCAGGCTGGCAGGAGCCCGTGAGGGGAGTGGAGTCCGATGAGGACGGAGGGGTCCAGAGCCGGGTGACACCGGGCCTGGACCAGTTTCAATACAACAAAAGTGTGTTGATTAAGATGCTCGGGTGATGGCCCCTCGGGGTGGCCTCTCAGGGAACCTGGTTGATTGCATTTCTGGTGAATTCGTTGCGAGCCTGGGTCATCTCAGAGGTGTCTGGGATTGGAGGGCCCTGTTGCAGGTCCTCCCTGGGGCGAGTCCTCTGGCAGCCTGTAAGCGGGGCTGTTGCACTCAGTCGCCTCTTTGATGAGCGAGTCCTTGGGTTGCCCCTGGTCGTCACTGAGGTGGGGGTACTGGGCTGAACACATAGTGGCCCCAGGACATTTCTTGGAAATTGCTTTTTAAAATAAACCCCTGGCATAAGCTTGTTTTCATTTGCCTCCTTACCCAAGAAGCCAAGTTCAGAAATAAACCTCGGTTATTCTGGGTTCTCATTAATCAAGGTGCCGCTCTGTGGTGCTGGGAAAGGAGAGGCTCTGGGAGCCGTTTCTGCAGTTATTTACGTCGGTTTCAACAGCTCCCGCGGCCATGGCTCTCTGCAGCCAAGCAGCAGGCACTTCCTAGATTGTTCTATCATGTTTCGCTTTCACAGCTGTCGTTCTAAGGGCCATAAATTTGCTATTTCCTTGACACCGGGTTCCTCTGTGATCACCCCGCAGGATCAGGACTCATCTGGCTCACGACAAGGCTCCAGCTCTGGGAGCAGGCTGCGGTGGAGAGCCACCCTCGCGGGCCTCTCCGGGCTCCGGGTGGGCTCCGCGGCCGGGCCGCACAGCGCAGAGCCAGCTGAGAAGCTGGCCTTTGTTGGCTCCCAGGGCACGCAGGCTCCCGCTCGTGTTTGTGAGCCGCCTCGGGAAGCCCTGATCCTCCCGGTCTTCACAAGGATAAAAATACTCCTGCTGGGCACTCACCCTCTTTATACAAACAAGTCCGCGAAGCCCCAGCAGCTCCAGCTTTGTTTAAGTTGGCATCTTCGCCCACAAGTGCTGGCCACCCACCCGGGCCTTCCTCGGACCTCCAGAGAGGCTTGAGCCCGAAGATGCTGTCGCCGCCAAAGAGCTTCCTGGTAATCTTAGAAACCAAGGGCAGGGCCGGGGCGGAGGGGGGCTGCTTAGGAATCAGGGCGCAGGTTTCCCGCCCCTCATGTCTCTGCCTCCCCTTCCTGCTCAGACTGATCCAGTGTGCGCTCCTAAGAAAGACCTAGAACACAGAGGGTCAAGGCAGAGCAAACTAGGTCTGAATTTTGGCCCTGTTGCTCTGCAGCTCCAGGCAGATTACCAAACCCCAGTCTCGGCTTGCTCCACCCTAAAGGGGATGAGGGCCTCAGCCTTGTGGGCTTGTTCTGAGGATGAGGATGAGGATGGGAGCACTTCCCTGCACTTGGCGGGACCTGTTCAAGGGGGCGTTTATCCTCAGGGAAGACGGGCCTGGCCTCTCCGGGCGGGTTTGGTCCAGCAGCCGCCCCTGCCTGTCAGCTGTGGAGAGCGGCTTCTCAGGGCTCCGTGCGTGGACCTTCTCTGTGTGTGCGTCCCTGGAATGCTACAGCCTCTCCTTTGAACTTGGTGGGATCTAAATTTGGACTCTGAGCTTTAACATTAGCTGCTTGACTAAGCCACCGTGTGTTTATTTTTTCTTTAAGCTCTTTTGGAGATTTCTTTCCTCCCAGAAAGGTCTGAATCAGATGTCCCATGGGATGGTATTAACAGGACCACATCCCTCCTCGCTGACCCACGCTCTGGAAATGTAGGGGCTGGCGGGGGACTCCTGGGCTAAAGACACTTCCCTGTCATGTCAGGGTTTACACGAGGCGGGGCGGGGGGAGGCGGGTGTCGGAATGATTCTCCTCTCACTGGTCTGATGATGATGAGTTTGGGCTTCGGGGAGGAAGAGGGAAGCAGCGCTGCCGGAGGGGATCTGCTGCCTCTTAGACTGGGGCGTTGCTTCTCATCCCTCTTAATCAACCATAGTTTCGCCGTATGTGTTTAAACTACTTTAGAAGGCCCACGTCGATTTTGTGGCCCCATCTCACACACGAACAGCAATACAGATAATGTCACACCCCCGAAGTATTTTTAGCTCCATTCAGGGCCCTCCGCCTGGGCCCACCGAGATGTCTGAGTTCCCTCTCGGAGGGGAGTCTGCCAGCAAGCTCGGAGACCTGTCCTTACGACTCTCAGGGACTTTGGACAGATAAGGACATGAGAAAGCATTCAAGTCGACTTTGTACATTTACAAAAATAAAATCCAGGGCCCTGTGCTTCTGGGAAACCACTATCTGCAGACGGTCTAGCTCAGTCAAGGCGCTCAGCTGTGTCGTGGCTTGAGCCTGAAGAATTTAGAAAGATTTGTGGACTGTGACTTTGCTGGAGGGGGTAGCGTTCATTATCTCCTCCTCTGCCAGAGCCTTGTCCCCTGGGGACTGTCCCAAGCTGCTCTTCACCCCCGTCAGGGACAGAACCTGGGGCTTATGTTTGAGCAGAGGAAGGAATCTTTGATCTCTGTTCCTAAGTTTTATTTTCAAAATGTTCCTCCCAGCAGCTATTTTAAAAAATTAGACTCCATCTGCAACTGGTGAAGCCATGGAGGAAGGGTCTGTCCCTTCCCACTTCAGAATGCTTTTTTGGGACATTTATCACAGTTGAGAGCCAAAGGTCATGGGCACAGAGAGACGGTGCTGAGAAGTGGGAAATAACCCCGGGAGCGCCCTCCCTCAGTCTGAGCCAGGCTGCTCCGTCACCTCTGTTTGATCTTGCGTCATCCCAGTGACTGACCGTTCCAGAAGACAGAAGGAAATTGGAAAACAGGAAAGATGATGTAGAGACATGATGGCCAAGCCAGGCAGTGAACACTGACTGGGGCAGGTTATTCATAAATGTTTTCCTGTCTCACATGTTCTTCCAGAACCTTGCAACCCCCCATTAAGAGGTGGAATCTATGTCCCCTGCTATGAATCTGGGGGGGCCTTTCTGCCTTAATAGAGGATGGCAGAAGTGACACCCTAGGACGTTGAAGCTGAGTCATAAAAGGCTACACCACTTCTGTCTGACTCTCTGGGCAATCCCCCCTTGGAAGCCAGCTGCCATACTGCAAGGAAGCCCAGGCCGCTTGGATAGCACCAGGCCATGCCAGCCGGCAGCCCCGTGAGCAAATCGTCCTCGAGGCCGACCCTTCAGCCAAGCTGCAGGGGCAAACCTTCCCCGCAAGCTCTGCTCACATGGCAGATTCCTGGGCTGGATGGGTTGTCGGAGTTTAAGCCACTAAGGTTAGGGTGGTTTGTTGCTGCGATAGACAGCAGGCACTGGCCGCCTCCTGTTTCCATGTCGCGCTCTCTGCGGGGTCCACCCTGCCTCACTTTCTGCAGAGCCAGGCTCTTCATCTTCTCCCCTTCTTTCCATCACAGTTACCTCTGGATCGTCGTGCTGCCTCTTTGCAGCCATGCAAGAGAGAAGTGGGGACCCGAGAGCTGCGTCTTTCCTTCTTAAATCCAGCATGTGGTCCTCCCTGTGTGTGTTTCTGGAACCGGGATCCAGGCTCTTGCTTGGTGCCAGATTATAAGGAAGCTGCAGGCTTCCCTGCCTGAGTGGGGCCCTCCTAATTCTATATTTGTATTTTGTACTGTTTTTCTTAGAGGGACCCCAAAATGGTATAAGCTACTCACAAAATACCTAAGCTGCCCCTGTTCCTGCCCCTTTCCAGACGGGAGAAGTAGCGTGACCCTGCTCATCACTCACGGGAACTCTGCTGTCAGAATGGAAGCACCTCTCCCTGGGGCCTTTGATAATGAAAACGGGGTCAGTTCATCAGGAAAACATAGCAATCAAATGCGTATGCACATAAAGGAGCTTCAAATAAAGGGAAGCAAAAGTTGACAAAATTAAAGGGAGACACAGACACTTGCACAGGTGTGGCTGATGTTTTCACATCTATATCAGTTCTCTCACCAGAACTAGACAAAAAGAAGATGATGGAACTAGACAAAAAACGTCCGGAAACACATGACGTTCTGAACACCGCTAGAACCACCTTGACCTGACACTGACACTGCGGGCCACCTTTGTCAGGCTGTCCCCAGCACTGACGGTTACAGCAGGCAGCCGTCTCAGGGCATCAGAAGGGCCTCTGCCTTACAGCACCTTCAAACCTGCAAAGCAGACGGCCTCCTCTCTCAACGTTTGTCAAGAAACAGCAACCCTCAGTGGGCACATCCTCCGGTGGGTGGTGGCCTCCCAGAACTTGCACCGAGATGCCCTTGTGAAGTCCCTAAGGATCAGAATGCCGTTAGCGCCACAGAAAGCGACCCTTTTGGGGGGGTGGGGGGCGGGGAGGTGCGTTGTAGATAGACACAAGACCCCCTTGCCTCCCGCCTGAGTGGAGACCTCGGCTCTGGGCCTTGTAGGCCAAATTTGCAGTAGCAGAGCCCCCTACCTCCCGCCACCTACGGTTACGTCCAGGCTGGGCCTGAGGACAGCCCCTCAGGGTGCCTGTGAACCCTCTGCTGGGACCCAGGGGCCACTGGTCACATTGCGAGTCTGGGGTCAGGACAGGGAGTGAGTGGTGGGACACAGAGCTTCTTGAGAGAGCCATCAGACCCTCCTCGGCTTCCCTAGAGCCCTCTCCTTCAGACCCCAGGGGGCCCACAGCGCCCTCGGTCACTGGGCAGTGCCAGGCTGGTGGTGTCCCAAGGAATGACAGGCCTTGGACAGGACACGCTGGCTGTGCTAATGCTCCTCGGCCTTCCAGCGACAGGGGGAGGATTCTGCCTTGGACGGTTTGCGGGCACTCAGCTTCCTCCTGAGGGAGGAGAACTTGTCCCCCAAGACCTTGCGCAGCCCTGGGCCGTCTCTGCCGCAGGGCAGGTCCTGCCTGGTGGCCGGGAGCCGCCCCGTGAACATCTCCCACCGGGCGAGGGCGTCCACGGCTCTGTCCACCCGCGCCAGCTCCTCCTCAGTCACTTCCCTCTCCAGGGCCTGGATGCATGTCGCCAGCCACCGTCCGTGCTCCTTGATGGCCTCCACTGGGGTTCCAAGCTGCAGCGGGCGCTCCGAGGCCGCCAGGGAGCTCAGCCCGTCCTCAGGCTCCAGCTCCGGCCCCGCGGAGAAGGCATGGCTCCACGCGTCAGGGGTGAGGGGCTCCGACAGGCTGGTGCCAGGCTCCGAGTCACTCTCGCAGCACAGGCCCGAGTCAGCGCTGCAGGGCAGGGTGTCCTCCGACACAGACGGCTCCCCTGCCTCCTGGCCCAGCCGCATCCCCACCACCGCTTGAGTCCAGGAGTAGAGTCTCTAAGAGGGAGAAACACAGGCTGAGTGTTCTCTGTATGGTCACTTACCAAGCCAGGGAGCTGCCAGGAGACCCAGCCCCTTACCTAAGGGGACCTCGCTGTCCCCAGCTACCCAGGGGCAAGTGTCAGGCTAATGACACAAGGACCCTTCTGACTGGCGTCTTCTGAAGACTGGAGCCAGGCGGACAAGCTCAAAAGAGCCCTGGTAAACTTCCAGGAGCTCTGCAAGCCAGTTGTTCAACCCGACCGTTATTCACAGTTAAATTACATAGAGCTAACAATTAAATTTTAAAATCATATTGAAAGCAAAGAGAATAAATAATCAAAACTCATCACTTCCTACGTGTTTTTGCTACATTTTACCATGACATGCTTCAGGGTGATTCTCATCTGTTGTATCTGTACGTGGACACACTACCTGATGGTGTGCCACAGCAGGTCTCTCCCCAACTCTGTGTCCTGTGGCTGCTTAAAATTGGCTGTGGTCACAGAATTTACACCATGGAAATTGGCAGATGCTACAAGTCAAGGCTATTTCTTCAGAGGGCATTTCCCAACTCACCACTGACCAGTATAGACAGACAGCAGAGACCTTTTCTGGCCAGGCGCTCGGTCATTGCCCCCAGCTATGGCACCTACCAGAGAGTCCTCAGGAGCTGTCCCAATGACCAGGGACAGAATCGATGGCCAGGGACCAACCAGAGCTCTGGGGACCACTGGGGGCAGTTCCCCTCCTACAATAGCCTGGAAGGCCAGGGCCCCTGTGGGGTCTCCCGGAGCCCCTCTTCAGAGGAACACTGCAGCTCCTCCCTCCCTCGGGCTCCCCCTCTCCTAACCTCCTCAGAGCCCCTCCAGTCACTGAATGACGTTCACTGGGGACAAAGGGAGTGGGTCAAACATTTCAGAGGATGCTCTGGGTTGGAAAGAGGGGTTACCCCTCCAACTCAGATCCAGAGTGGGGCCAGACCTCACCAGGTTAGGGGTCAGGGAAAGGCCTGCTTCCCAGCCGGGAGGGGCATGTGTACAGGTGAGAGGATAAAAGGTATAGGAGTTCATGTCGGGGGAACAGGACCCCGAGGAAGGACATAAAGGAGAAGCCCAGTCCGTTTTTGCAGACCGGACCTTGTCTCACTTCACCTTACACGCACCATGAGGATCATGAGCTGTTTACTGCCAAGTCCCTTGACCCTGCGCTGGTCAAAACAGCAGCCAGCATTGGCGGGACACTGGAGACCATGCCAATTACACCCTCATGAGGACCGCTGGTCCCTACTCGGCAGCTGCGGCAGCTATGGCGCCTACCCTCAGCGGGTCTGCCTCTGGTCCCCCTCCCCAACCAGGCAGGCCGTTTTCTCCATGCTCCTTGATATTCTTTTTACCACGGAGTCGTCCATTCAAGAAAGATCCACACAGAGTGGCAGCTCTGAGACTTGGACATGCCCAGCCCTCTAGTTCAGGGGTCCTCAACATGGGGTCCTGATCCGCATCCTGGAAGCTGTTAAAAACGCAAATCCTCACCCACCCCAGGGGCGTGGGATCAGAAACCCGCCGCCCTGCGGCCCTGGCTGCCCGGCCTCCAGGAGGAGGAGGTGGGGGCTTCCCAGAACTGCACAAGCTGAGCCTCGAACACAATGACATTCATTTAAAGCTTTCGGCCTAAAACTTCTGATTTTAAAATCAAGTCAAAGCTATTTGGTTGACAGGCCTTGTGCCTTTATTCAAATGAAACCTTTTTTTAACTCGGTATTTTCATGCAAAGGTGGGTTTAAAGAAAAAGTAAACACGACCTGCCTTTGAATTCTGAACTCAGAGTAAAGTTTCTGAGTTTGCAAACCAATCTTCCCATTTCCCTGGGGCTCCTTGGCCACCTGGGGACCCCCTCGCCTGCCTTGGGCCTGTGCGCCCAGACAATGCCTCAGGCCGACAGCAGAGGGCGGCGTCTCCCCGCTGGCTCAGCCCCGACGCAGGGCAGTGCTGGACTCAGAGAGGAGCGCCTGCCTTTCTAGAGAGTCTTGTTTAGTCTGGTTCTGCCTCCTCCTGAGAGGCCTGCCCTTCCTCTGGGTGGCAGTGAGCCACGGAGAGAAAAAGCGCTGCTGGGGCAACCACACTGTCTGCGGGGATGCCCCGAAGGCCCCTTCGAGATGCAAGAACTCGTGTGAGTAGGTACAGGGAGCACGCGGGCAGGGTCCAGCCCCGGGTCAGTGCTCGGTAAATACTAACTCTGATTGATGTTGCCTGAGAAATAAAAGCCATCTGCCCGCGGTCACTCCTCCACCCCAGTGCCACCTGCCATGGGCTAGGCTGGGCTAAGGACTCAACATGCTGCCTGGCGAGAACAATCGGACCCCGAAGAGCTGGACACAAGACAGGTCTTTTCACTCCACCTGGGGCCCTGCACAGCCGGGACCCAGCAGCTTACAAAGGACGTGCATCCGTTCCCGCTGTTTCTCTGATCCCTGTGCACAGGCCACAGGCCCTCAAGGCCTTCTGCTCTCCCTGCCTGAGGGCGTGGACCTCTCCAGGCCCGGGGCAGCCACCCCAGGAGCGCGACTCACTTTGTACCTCTCGACGAGCTTGAAGCCCAGGACGTGCTGCAGCTTCCGCAGGCAGATGGGACAGAGGTCCAGGGGCCGCTGCAGGGCCTCGTCCAGGCTGAGCGCGCCCTGCATGAGGCAGCGGAGCCAGCGGCAGTTCCCCAGGCCCAGGAGGTGGCAGAGCTCATGGCACGTGACCTAAGGGAGAAGGCCCACTGCCGTCCCTGCAGCCTTGATGCCCATCCCCCAGCAGATCCCCAGGACACCTGGGCAGCCCCACCAGGCCTGAGCGCCGCCCTGGGAGGGGCCAGAGGGCCAGGAAGTGGTCCAAGCCCTGTCTCTGGCCTCCACCCAACTGCACAGCACACCAACTGACATCTCTGGGGCCACAGCACCCGTAGCCCACTCGGCCAAGGGGAGAATGGTGAGCTGGCGCGGTCAGCTCTGGCGCACCCCGCGTGGGGGTTTGGGTTTCAGACAGACACGGGTTCAAATCCCAACCCGGCCACTTCACAGCTCTGTGACCTTGGGCAAAGGACTTGGCGTCTCTGAGCCTTGGTTTCCATACTCTCTAAAAGTGAAGGGTCATCCTCCTCATTGTCAGGACTGGACAGTGTAACTGGCTGGACACAGAGAGGGCTCAACTGGTGTCTGCTCATGTCCTTCTGTCTGATTCCACATCCTTAGCATCTTCCCAGAGCTTGCCAGAACCCCCAGCCCTTCTAGCCTCTTCCCGTCCCCCATCTTCTCCCGCCACCTGTGCAGCGCCCTGGCTCCACACCCACCTTGCAGCACTGGACCATCCCCAGGGCGCTGAAGCACAGGGCCCGGCCTCTGTCCTGTACGGGGGTCTCGGGGCCGTCTGCTGCCGCCTCTGCCGGGGCCGGATCAGAGGCGCTGGGCCCCAGCTGCAGGAAATCCCCCGAGAACCGGGCGAAGCTGCAGATGCCCACTTCTGGGGAGAGGCAGAGAGATGGGGGCTCAAGAGGCAGCCTTGGCTTCAGGAAGCCCACGGGCAAAGCCACGCTGTCCTCAGGACACACAGGTCCTGGAGGCCCTGCCCTGCCAGCAGGTCCACATGAAGGCAGCCCCAGGGCAGAAGCCCAAGTCTGAGGAATGGCTCCTTGCTCAGAAGGAGCTAGAACGCAGGACCGCACATTCCAGCGCAGCCAATTCCATATTCGCGCGTCATCTTCCCTGGGAGTGAGAGGAGGAGGGGTCGAGGTGCGCTGTGCACACGGCCCTGCCCCCCACCCCCAACATGGGCTGATGCAGGAGGCTGCCGGGGCCCCCGGCTCACCATGGCCTGGAAGGAACTTGCCGAAGGTGAAGCTCCAGGCCTCGCAGGGGTACAGGTCGGACAGCGTGAGGCCCAGCACACACAGCGCGTCCCCCGGCTTGCTGCTCCTCAGGAAAGACAGGATGCCGTCTGAGGGCAGAGAGAGCCGGAGGGGACAGTGAGGGGGAGGCTGGGGACCCCGTCCCAGCCCCGGGCTCAGGGCAGGCACACTCTGTCCTCCCCTCTTCCTCCGCCTCTGACCAGCCCTTCCCAAAGTCGCATGTGAGCTAGTAACCTTCCGCAGGAAACTGTCAGTCTGAGGCAGAGATCTCAAAGCAGCCGAGCTGCCCTGTGAGGGCCTGGGGCTCAGGGTCAGGCAGCCTGGGTCAGGTGGCCAAGTAAGATCTCGGAGTCTCTGTTTCCTAAACTGTCAAGAGAGCTGGGTTGGACATGGTAGTCCACAGTGCCCAGCGATGTCCAAGCAGGGACGCCAAAGAGCCCGCTGGGCCAATGAGATAGGTGTTCAGGGGAAAGCGCCACTGCAGCCACGGGGCGGGATGAGCTGCCACGGTGGCTGATTGATGGCCCCAAAGATGCCCACACTAGTCCCTGGGGCCTATGAATGTGGTACCTCACAAGGCAGAAAGGACTCTGCTGATGTGATTAAAATGGGAAGCTCATTCTGGATTATCCAGCCGGACCCCCTGTAGTCACTAGGGTCCTCATAAGAAGAGGCAGGAGGGTCAGAGAGAGATCTAAAGGTGCTACGGTGCCGACTTTGAAGATGGAGGCCACGGCCAAGAGCCAAGGAAGGCAGGCGGCCTCCAGAAGCTGGAAAAGGCCAAGAAACCGATTCTTCCCTGGAGCGTCCAGAAGAAACCAGCCCTGCCGACACCTTGACTTGAGTCCAGGGAGACTTCTGACCCACAGAACTGTAAGAGGACGAACGTTGTTTAACCCACTAAATTTGCAGTGACTTATTAGAGCAGCAAAGGGAACTGAGACAGCTCCCAGGAGCGTGTATAGACAGAGACTGGAGAAGGATGAGAATGGAGAGGAGCCTGGAGCGACGCAGGCAGAGCGGCCAGCGAGGTCCAAGAGCAGGACAGGAGTCTTAGGGGGAGCTGGGCCATCAGTAAGATGGGGAGCACGGGGGCGGGCAGGTGGGGAGCCGAGGAGCAGCGAGGTGTGGAAGTTCCTCTTTGATCATCTGTGTTTCCTCAGCAAGAACAGGGAGCAAGGTCATCATCAGAGGAGGAGGAGGAGGAGAAGGTGTGAGGGCCCTCAGGGCTCACAGTCACGCATTTATGAGGAGTACGCATGGGCAGACAGGAGTCGGATTTACCCAGGTGTGGACAGGAAGGGGAGGAGGGTGGGAAGCCACGTGGTGAAGCATGAAACCAGAGCCTGGGAAGGATGGAAGTGAGGGCAGGAGGCGGATCAGGGGCCGGGAAAAGGTGCAGGACAGCAGGTTGTAGCCGATGGATCAAGGAACCGTTAGTGGGGGCACTGGAGAGACTGAGCAAGAAGTCTGGGAGGAGGCGTCTCCAGAGATGCTGACGCCCCTGGTGTGGAGACGAGCAGGCCTCGCTCGGTGCTGTCTGTAGAAACACAATGTGAGCCGGATAGGCAACTAAATCCTAAATTTTACTAATTCTAAAGTAAAATAAACAGATCAAACTGATTTTAATAGTATACTTCATTTAACTTAATATACCAATATTATTTTAACATGTAATCAAATATTTAAAAATTAATAAGATGGTTTCCATTGTTTTTCATGAAGTCTCAGTTCTGGTATGTGATTTGCACTTACTGTCCATCTTATCTCAGACCAGCCACGTTTACGTGTTCAGTGGCCACCTGTGGCCAGTGGCGACTGTCCCCGTCAGCACAGGTCTAGGCTATGACCTTGGGAACAAATGGCTGAGATCTTGGAGGAGGGGCCAAGGAATATTCGCTCTTAAGTTGACAGTGATGATGACGACTGTTATAGGTTGAACTGAGTCCCCAAAAAAGATATGTTGAAGTCCTCACCCCAGGTACCTGAAATGTGACCTTATTTGGAGATAGTCTTTGCAGATGTCATCAAGTTAAGATGAGATCACTAGGGTGGGCCTGATCCAAAACGCCTGGTATCCTTATAAGAGGAGAAGAGACACAGGGAAGAAATGGTGTAACGATGGAGACAGAGATTGGAGTGAGTTAGCTCCAAGCCAGGGCACACCAAGGACTGCCAGCAGCCACCAGAAGCTGGACGAGGCAGGAGGGATCCTCCCCCAGAAACTTCAGAGAGAGCATGGCCCTGCCAACACCTTGGTCTCATGCTTTCGGCCTCCAGAGCTGTGAGACAATACGTTTCCGTTGTTATATGCCACCCAGTTTGTGGTGCTTTGTTACTGCAGCCACAGGAAGCTAATACAGTGATCTAAACCAAGTTAATCTGACCATGAGACCGGAACCCTGCATGACCTCTGGGCTCTCCCTGCTGGTTGAACCTTCCTGAGCCCACTTCTGCCCCAGCACTCCACGCAGCCTCTGAGATGTAGGGCTGGGGACAGCAGTCCGTTCACTAAGCAGCTGGGAAGAGATGTGCACAGGTGACACTTGACCTTATGCCCCTCAGTGCTGAGGTCCCTGAGGCCCACCACTGTGCCTGTGGCAGCAGGGATGGACACTTGGCTTCTCCCGAGTCTCTCAGAGACACGAGTCAGGTGGAAGCAATAGCAGGTGTGATGGCACCGCGTGTGGCATGAGGAGCTGAGGAAGGTGGGAGGCAGGGGGTCCCAGGCCCTGCACTTGGGCTAGAACCAAGGCAGGCCACTGCTCCCTGGGCCCCCTGCAGACCCTCGGGGATGGGGAAGGCTGTGCCCCCTGAGCAGGATGGGCCTCAGAGTGACCAAACCCGAAGCCGGGGACATGGAGGGGAATGTGCCACCATCGGGATGGCACCCACCCCAGCCAGGAGGTCCCATCAACCCTGAAAACTCAACCCCAGCTGCTCCATGTAACAGCAGCCAGGGAAATCAGACCAGCCCTCCCGCTAAAAGATAACCAACAAGCCATGTAAAATACAAAAAACAGCTTCTTAAAACATCTAGGATGGGAGAGGGGCTGGCTACAGGGGGCATCGAGGAAGCCTTGGGGGCGAGGCAAGCTGTTCCACACACGATTATAGTGATGGCTGGGGGATATGTGTGTTTGTCAAGATTCAAAAGGAAGAATTTCACTATATAAATTATGCCTCAGTACACAGTCACGTCTCCTCTGCCCACCTGTGCCAGATTCAGAGGCTCAAGGCTCAAAGAGATGAATCTGAGCTTTCTGAGATGGGGGAGGGTGACCCTGACCACACACCCCCTCCTCTGGCTGTCACCCCAAAGGGCTGCGTGGGGTAGGGGGTTGCAGACTGTGCTCCTGGGGTCACCAGGTGGCCCAGAAGAGCTTTGTGTCTTTGTCCCCGACAGTCAACACCCTTAGGTGCCTGGCAGAGGAAAAATCAGTGACATCACCCCAGGCCACACATTCTTCTAAAAGTTAAACATTTTTTAGATAAGCTGTCCAGCTAACAGTCAAAGCAGACACACGATGAGGCAAGGTAACTGAGATGGAATGAGCAGAAACAACACAGAGAGCCCCGTGGCACTCCAGATTGTGGGATCATCTGACACAGGCCGTGAAGCAACTGTGTTCGTGGGTACAAATGCTGGACTCAAAAATCTTAGCAGGGAACTGGAAACTATAAAAAAGTGACACTGCGAATTTGAAAAAGAATCCACCAGAAACTATAGAACTGAAAAATATGATAACTGAAACTAGAAACTCAATATAGGGGTTTAAGAGAATATTAGGTGCAGCTAAAGAGAGAATTAGTAAACAGGAGGATGAGAACAAGGCTTGGATGAAATACAAGGAAGGAAAGAAGATCCAGGAGCGAGAACATCCACCTGGAGTCCTGGACAGGGAGAGAGCGCGGCAAGAGGCAGTGTCTGAAGACAGACGATGGCCGAGAATTTCCCACAACTAACCAAACACATCAGTCCACTCCTGCTAGACCCAGCATCGGCCAGAGAGAGAGGCCAGGCCCTTCTTGAGGACCCCCCTAAACTTGAGGCCGTGTCTCCTATACATCTGAGAGCCCCAGTTCGTCCGTGCCTCTCACGCCAGCCCCACTCTCTCCAGCCGCCAGTGACCCCCAGGGATTGGTGGGGTCGGGGGCTCTTCTAGATGCATATAAAGTGCTTTGTAAAGACAACAGCCTGGAGGGATGCCTTAGACGGCCTGAAAAGGGCCTGCTTCACCTGCTCTGCATGTCTGGAGTTTTCTAGCGGACACTGGGCTGTGTGGTCAAGTCTCCAGACCGTCTTCTGGACGAGGAAAGAACACCTGTCTTAGTTCTCCTTTTCAAAAGGCTGGAAAATAGATGTTTCCCACCAAAAAAGAGCGGGGGGATTCCTTCCTCCCTTACCTTCTGGAAGGGCCTCTGGCTGAGTGGCAGACGCCTGCGCCTGTGTCAGCCTGAGCCGGCCCCGCCGGGCTCACTCACCTGTGTGAAGCTGCAGCCTGTCCGAGTCCTGACTGGGGCGCGAGGAGCAGTGGATGGACGCGGCCGCCACCGAGGGCAGGCACCTGACCTGCAGGCCCAGGAAGAAGGCCTCCGCGCAGCTGCGAAGGTGGTCCAGCAGAGCGCCGCCCGCCGCGCCCTCACTCAGATCTGGGGGCAGAGCAGCGCCGTCAGCCCACCGCCCACTCCGCGGAGCCCCCGCCTGCCCGTGCCCAGCACCCCAGGAGCCCCGCCAGCACCGGCCAGCTGGATGTGGGCCTGCCTCCACAGAGCAGAGAGTCAGGTACAGAAAAGAGACCTCAAGGCCATCTTTTTTAAAAGGGGAAAAAAAGGAGAAAAATGGAAGAAGAGTCAACGATGAAAGGAGAGGAATCACAACAGCACCTGACGACCAACGGGAGCGCAAGGAGGCCGGGCCTCCTCCAGCCCGAGTCCCCGAGGCTGACCATGTGGGGCAGGCTACAGGCAGCCTGCTGGGTTTAATCTGCAGAAAGCCAGCCTGGCAGGGCAGGGAGTGGGGCAGAGGGAGCGCACAAGATGAGGCCGTGTAGGTGGGCGGAGGCATCACCAGAGGGAGCACCATCAGGTCGCATTTTAGGAGGACAGAGGGACATGGATCAAGGGTGGAAGCCGGGAGACCTGTGAGAAAGTGGCTGCAGTGTCCCTGGGCCGGTTAGAAATGCAGATTCCCAGGCCACCCCGGCCCTCCTGCACCAGAACCTGACCTTTAACAAGATGCCCGTGTGTCTGCTCATTAGAATTCGAGAAACACTGCTCTGAGCTGTTAGGGGGAGGTGAAATGACAAGGCTGGTTTGGGAGCTGTTTAGAGGCAGAAGCTACAGGCAGAGATGGCAGATTGGCCGTGGGGTGACGGAGATGGCTGTGGGGTGGTGATGAGGCCTGCTGAAACCCAGCCTTCCCTGGCTGGCTGTCAAGGCGCTGCCCGGAGGGGAGCGGTGTTGCTCTGACCCTCAGCATAGCTCTGGCCTCTTCCCCCTCAAGGGCAAGTGCCACCTCTGCCCCGCATGCATGTGTCCTCTCCCCCAGGCTGCGGTCACCTGCCCTCGGCCGGCCCAGTGGCCAGCCCAGCCCCTCCTCCCCAGCACCCGCCAGCAGACCTCGAGGAGAACCAGCCGAGCCATCTCAGCCCTCAGTCCATGTGGAGCCCCATGCACCTGGTGTCCCCGCCTGTGCCGGACGACGAGCTCTGGAGGACAGTGACCCCGCAGGGCCCCTCAGGCGGCACCCCTACCTGGCGCCCGGCCAGCGTCTCCCAGGACAGCCTCGGGTTAAGAGCAAGGCCTTGGGGTCAAACAGGCCTGCACTCAAATCCTGCATCTACCCTTCGCCAGCTCTGCCACTCGGGCAGGTCAAGTGACTTCTGGCAGCCTCAGTTTCCCTGCCAGTGAAACAGGCTGATCCTAGTCTCAGCATCCCCACCCCACTGAGGAAGGGGTCCCCATAAAGCAGTCAGCACCGTGCCTAGGACGGCGCTGGCGTCCACAGATGGGGCCAGGACGGCACGTCTGGACGGGGCAGCATCTGTGCAAGGGGCAGGGTCCCATGGCCCTGGGCTTTCTGAACAGTGTCAGACCCGGGGTGGGAGCACGGTGTGAGCCCAGCTGGGGCCTCCCTGCCCCCACCCCCGAATCCCAAATACACCAGCGCTGCCCCTCATTTCAGGTCCTCCTGGGGGCCTGGGCACCAACACCCCACCTTGTGCCGGGTTTAGGTCGATGTCCCCCCCCCGTGGGGTCCTAATGGCTCCAGGACGCCACCCTGCAGCTCATCACCCACTTGCCGGCCCTGCGGGGGCCACAGCCCCCCCGCCAACCCTGGTACCTATCGGCTGCAGGTAAATGTGCTTCCGTGCTGGGCTCTGCTTCCTGGGCAGCAGGGAGGCGTGGAAGGTCCCGAAGTCCTCGGGGGCCTCGGGGCGGCTGAGCAGCCAGTCGAAGGCCGTGCGGATGAGCAGCGTGCAGAAGAGGGTCCTCTGGGGGTTGTAGGCCTCGGCCAGGAAGAGTCTCTCGGCCGGGGAAAAGGTGGACACATAGAGCTGCTGCAGGGCCGGGTCGGTGGAGACTAGGGCATCCTTCAGGGCCCGGGGGCCGAAGCTGAACTCCTGGGCCGGCCTGCACTGCAGCATGGCGGGCCTGGCCTCTGCGGGGAGCCCCTGCCGCTGCCCATGAACCACCCAGGGGACGGCCACGATCTCTTCCAGAACCTTCCCGCTGGCTGATGGGAGCGGCTGCCAAGGGTTCCCCGCAGAAGGACACTGGGCCGAGGGCCTGTGAGGCCCGGTTCTGCCTGGCGTCGGGCCTACTCAGCCACAGCGAGGGGTGGGAGACACCTCCCAGCCGTCAGCACCCTGCGGGGGGACACACACTGCTGAGCAGACACGGGCCTGTTCTCTCGGGCGGGGGAAGGAGCTCCATGGGGGACGAACGCCGTCAGAGGGGCCGGGTCCCCCAGGATGCCGCACTTGCACCCAGCCGGGGGCAGAAGGACCCTATTCTCCTTCTCTAGCAGGCTGGGTCCTTCATCCTCCCCCACGGCCAGGACACGTGTTTCCATGGGACCCCCAAGGCCACAAGCCCTGCTGGAACCGCACGAGGGGCACACAGGCCCAGGGAGGCCAGCAGCCCGATGTCCACTCTCGCACCCCGACTTTCCCCGAGCCCTCAAAGAGGGGGTGCTCAGAGGGAAACCACCCACCTTTGTGCTGAGCCCCTGCACAGTCCAAGTGGCCCCTCCGGGCAGGAAACTAGTGGCTCCTGACCCCTTGGGATCACCAAGTGCCCCTCGTCGCCCGGGGCCCCACAGCACCTCCTTATCCTCCTGGCAGGGGCCCCGCATGCCTGAGGAAGGAAGCCACTATCCCCGTGTCCACATCGCCAGGCCAGCCGGGCTAGCAGATGTCCGGGAGGAGGGCAGCCCCCACTGTGGCAGACCCAGAAGTTTCCGGCACACGGTGGGGCAGGCACACGTGACGAAATGTATAAATAGGGAGATGTGGGGAAGCAACAAAGAGAGCTTTAACTGCAGGGACAGACTGGGTGGCGAGGGGACGCCAGGGAGGGACAGGAGAGCTGGGAGAACAGTGACAAAGTCACTCTGCAAATTGGAGTTTTCCTTCTGAACTGGGAGCCAGGATTGGCACATCCATGTGTTTGCCAGAAACGACGCCCCCTCCGCCACGCCCCCCGGTGCCACCCCCTCCCCGAAAAGCTGCCAGGAAATGACGAGCTCTGGTCACCAGGCCTGCTGGGGGCTTCACTTCAGGTCTGGCTCAAAGGACACACGATGGATGGGGCAGGACAAAACAGAGAAGAGAAGGGGGAGGTAACAAGGAAAACAAGCCAGAGAAAAGGAGATGCACACAGAACAGGGTAGAGAGCGCGGGATCACTGAGCACAGGGAGAACAGCGCTGGGCTTCTTACTTTAGGAAGTCAGGCCAGAGAGGCAAACCTGTCTCCGCAGAGCACAGCGCGAGGCCTCCCAGCCCTGGCTGGAACCACGGGACGGGCCTTGTTTTGGGGGGAAGAATGAAGACACAAGCTCATATTCCCTTCGGCTAACCCCAATTTAAAATGTTCGTCCGGAAAATAAATGTATATATACATACTTATATACATATGTGTGTATTGTACATATATGTCTGTGTAAATCTATAAAGACACATACATATGTAGAGGAAAACTTGGTGTATATATAATTTATAAATTTTCCTCTGGAAAATTATATACATACAATTTTTTCCAGAAGATACTATGTACATATATGCATATACATACACACAGATCAGTTTTTTTCAGAGTTAAGTGCTGCCTTAGATGAGGGGAGGACCGGGCTGAATGCTTACTGAGATCCCTGCCAACAGCTCTCTGCTGAATGAATTTCTCTCTGCATATACATTTCACAAATTTAAGAACCAATTGCAAATGCAATCTTATATCCCTTTGACTTAGTATATTATGAGCATTTTCCCAAACCCTTAAACCTTCTATAAAAAATGCCATTTTTTAATGGCTGGCCCAAAACGCCGTGATGAACATCTCTGTACGGAAGTCTGAGATTCCCAGATTAGAAGATGCTGTGTGTGGATGTTTAAGGAATCTTGATCTGTATTGCCACTGCTTTCCAGAAGGGTCACACCAATTTACAATGCCATCAGCCCCCAAATTTCTAAGTAGACAGCAGCAAATAAAAATCATCGCCAAGAGTCCGGAATCCCCCCACTATGTTCCAGGCTGGGCTCCCAGGCTTTAACACCCAGGGAAGTGGGCACAGGTATTGTCCCCATTTTCACAAAGGTGAAACTGAGGCAGAGTAAGGTTAAAATTAACCAAAGCCACACGGCACGTAAGGATCGGAGGTAGGATTGGAACGCACCGGTTTTCAAGCACCAGGTTTCCATCATCCAGGGCAGCAGGGCCCCACCTGCTTAGGAGCCCCTGTCCAGACCCCTGGCCCCACTGCCAGACTCCAGGCAATACTGGCGGTTTGCAGTGCGGTGAACAACCCACTCCTGGGCTGTAGGAAGAAACGCCAGACGCACAGACACTTGAGGACGGAATCACATGGCATCAGAAAGGGCCACGGGGGACAAGTTCTCCAGGGGCCAGTAAGGCGCAAGGAGGAAGCAGCGAGGACAGACCCTGTGAGCCAGAAGGACTCGAGAGATAGTTGGCATTTCCAGAGGGGGCCGGGCGGGGCCCCAGCGCAGGTGGGTTTCTCCCTCCCTCCCTTCAACCCATAGTCACTGAGGGCCTGCTCATCCCTGGGGCATGGGCACCACCCGCGGGCAGGACAGACAGAGGGCCCAGCCTCATGGAGCTTAAATTCTAGAGATGTGAGGCAGACAGTAACAGGCAATAAAAGTAAATATTGTCCATAGTGTGTGAGGTGACAGATGCCACTGGAATGAGAAAAGGCAGAGGGAGGATAGGGGTCTGGAGTGCCCAGGCTGGGCTGCCTTTTTCCAGGGAGTGACCAGAGCAGGGGAGGGTGGGATCTGGCAAAGACTGGAAGGAAGCAAAGGGGGGCGCCTGAGGGATCTGGGCCGAGTGTCCCAGGTGGAGGAGCACGTGCAAAGGCTCCGCTGCAAACACATGCATGCGCACACATGCACACACACACGTGCATGCATACGTCAGTGGGTTTGGGGCAGCAGGAGGCCAGTGTGGCTGGAGTGGAGGAGGGAGGGAGGAGACGGCCACATCGTGCGGCCCTTGGAAGGCCGTTCGTTCTTACAGTTCTGGCCTTCCCCCCAAGCAAGGGGGAGAGTGGTGACAGGCGCTGGGTCCCATGTGCAAGCAGAGCTCTAGGAAGTCTGTCCCCTCCCCAGGGGGCCGGGCGTCATGGGGTGTGGACGCGGGACCCTCCAGGAAGCTCTGGGAGTGGTTGTGGGCTGTGAGCTCCCAGCAGTTGGGGCCCCTGGGGGCCGGGCACAGGGCAGTGCTCAGGAGACCCCAGAGGAGTGAGCACCCTGAACGCCAGCCAGGGCTCTGACATGAACTTGGCCCTCTGACATTTAACCCTGCTGTGCCTCAGTTTCCTCCCCGGCACAACAGGCTTGGTACCACCTGCCTTTCTTGCCAGAGCGTGGCTGGACCGAGAAGAAAGGAGGAGATGCCCGGCTCCTGCCAATGTCAGCCCCGCGCCCACAAGCTGCCGTGAACACCTGACACCAGCGCGTCCCACCCGCCCGTGTCTGTTCCTGGACGTGGGTCACCCGGCCCTGTGTGAGCCCTCAGCTCTCCCCAGACCCTCGGCTCACACACCCTCCCCAAGCGGGGCTGGAGCCAGGCCTCACTGCTGACGGCCAGCTCTAAGTTATTCCCTTAGTGTCACAGCTGGCGCGGAATTCTTTCTGTCATTGAGAGGAGCCTATAAATTAGTTCTCTGGAGCAGCCCATGGCCTTCGGGATGCCCAGAGGGTCTCTGTCACAGCTTCCCAAAGGAGGTGAAAACAGGCAGACATCAATATCCGAGGGCGGCTTGAACCAGCCCCAGTCACCGTCCCTCCCCACAGGGCACCATCCCGTAAACCCCAAGATCACTTTTTGACCCAACACCTGGTCTGAACCCACAACTACCTGAAACTTAGCTCCCAGTATGGACCCACCTTATAGCCAAGGAGACTGAGGCTGAGAGAGGGGAAGCTTCCCTGCCAGCAAACACCTCTGAATCAGGAAAAACCTCAGGAAATGAAAAATGCCCTTCTTTTTTTTTTTTCCATGGAACGTTCAAGGGCCCTGCCATGCCACATCTGTCCCAGGTGTGACTTGGACCCGAACTGTAAACCTCAGGCCCATTTCAGAGAGGACCCAGTCACAAGGCATCAGGAAGGGTCACAGCAGCACATTCTCTGGGGGAACCAGTGAGGACAGACCCCGTGAGCCAGAAGGAGCCTCGAGACACGTTCAGTCAGCGTTTCCAGAGGGGGCAGCCAGGCCTGGCACAGCAGTTCTGTCTCCATCTTTCAGACCACTCAACCCCCAAGGGCTTGTGTTTATGCAGGTTACATCTATCGATACTTACTGTGTCTGAACATAAAACTAAGAAATGTATGAAACACAAGGACATGAAATCCTGCCTCCATTAGCATCACACACACACACACATACACACACACACACGGGTGGCCCCTGGAAAAGTCCACCGCACGCCCATGAGACAACGAGAGAGGAAAGCGCAAATAATGTCTCAGGACTGCTGTGAAAATAGCTTGAACTCATGGGTCCCCTGCAGGGTCCTGGGAACACGCTTTGAGAACTGCTGTTTCCTCTCTGAATCCTCCTCCCTGGGACAACTGTTTGCACACCCACAAGCACATGTGTGCTCAGAGCATTCCCGTAGGAAACCCCACAACACCCTGCCCCGGCACAGAGCCTCTGGCCCGCCAGCCACCGGAGAAGCCCAAAGAGCCACATTAACTCCGACAGGCACAGGCTGGCCGGTCAACGGGCCACGAGGCTCCGGGCTGGGCACAAAGGTGTTTGAGTCCCTCTGTCCTTCCATGCAGGTCCTGCTCTCTCTGGGGTGCAGGACACGGACATCTGTCCGCCCGAACAGCATTTCCTCTCAAGAAGCCCATGTGGCCACATTTGTCTTCCTGGGTCATAGGGAAACCCCCGCCGGACCCTTCCGTCCTGCCAGGTCATTTTTGCACAAGACCACTCCCCACACAGAGGCTGGACTTGGCCCAAGGCCAGGGCTGTGTCCCAGGCAGC